CTCTCTCTCTCTCTCTCTCTCTCTCTCTCTCTCTCTCTCTCTCTCTCATACACACACACACACACACACACACACACACACACAATTTTAAAACATTGAATTTTTTTTTATTTATGTGCACTGGTGTTTTGCCTGCCTGTATATCTGTATGAGGGTGTCAGGTCCCCTGGAACTAGAGTTTACAGTTAATTCTGAGCTGCCATGTGGGTGGTGGGAATTGAACCAGGGTCCTCTGGAAGAGCAGTCAGTGCTCTTAACTGCTGAGTCATCTTTCCAGCCCCCTTTAAAACATTTTTAAAAAAATATTTTTAAAAGGGGGATTGTAGAGCTGGTTTGATGGCTAAAAGTATATGCTGCTCTTGCAGAGGACCTGGGTATGGGTCCCACCTCACACATCAGGCAATTCCCAAGCTCCAAGAGACCCAATGCCCTTTTCCAGCCTCCACAGTCATCTCATATACGTGGTGCTCACATACATGGTGCTCCTACAGTCAAGTAGACACATATACATACGTAAAAAGAAGCATGTTGAAAGATTTTGAAGCACTAAAAATTAATAAATTTTGGCTACGGAATTGTCTCAGCACTAAGAGTGGATACTGCTCTCCCAGGTAACTTGAATTTGATTCCCAGCAGCATAAAAACCTGCAACTCCAGCTCTAGGGGATCCAAGGCCTTTGGCCTTCATGGACACCTGAATTCATGTACATACACAGACCCATAATAATAAAACATATCTTTTTTTATTTTTTCAGATTTTTATTTTTTATTTTATGTGTATGAGTGTTTTACAAACATGTATGTGTGCCATATGTGTGCAGTGCCCACAAAAGCCAGAAGAGAGCACTGTTTCTCCCGAGACTGAAATTACAGATGGTTGTTGGTGCCTGAAGAGGTGCTGGGACTTGGACAGAGCTCTTAGTCACAGAGTCATCTCTTCAGCCCCCAATAAGATAAATCAATATTAGATTATAGTCCTAAAGTGCAAAGTAAATGTCCATGAGTACATAGTGGTATAAATGACTGGAGAAAGACAAATGTCCCATGCAGAATTCTAAATAAACCATGTAGATAGTTCAAGCTAAAACATAACTAAAGCATGTGGCTATCCCAGGCCACAAGACAGGAACATAATTCCTGAGTCATAAGCATGAGTAGTATAGGAAATTTTGTCTCATGTGGCAAACTGGAGGGCATGGAGGAACTTTCTAGTGGGCATTATGCCAGCCAGGTGGCCAAGATCAACATCAATTGCAGCAACTCACATGGGTATTCTTAACATGACTTAAAGACATTTGTTTCTCTTCTTGTTTTGTTGATCTCTGGTAGCCCAGGTTGGCCTGAAACTCACTATGTAGCAGACGACGATGGTGACCTGTGACCTTCTGATCTGCCTGCCTCTACTCTGGGGTGCGGGGAATGCAAGCCATGAGTCTCCTTCCCTTTCTCTCCGGTCCTTTCACCCTTCCTTGACAAGGTGTCACTGTGTAGCCCTGGCTGTCCTCGGACACTCTGTCTCAGTTTCCCAAGAGCTAGGCCTCCGTGTATGTGCCAGATTTGAAATGTTACTTTTACTTCCTTGTCCTCATTCCCAAAGCTCTTAAGTTCATTTTAGTCATTGAAAAACAAGAGCTCCCAACAGAGGGCTAGCCTACAGCACGCCCAACCCGTTCTCTCCGAAACTGTAAAGATTATAAAAACAGAAAATGAGAAACTGCCATAGCCCAGAGGAGCCCAAGGGGCTGAGACAAAATGTACCAGGGTATTCTGAATGGGATCATGACACATGAAAAGACCATTATACAAAATCTGAAGAAATCTGAATGGACCTTGAAAAATAATAATATGCCAGGTGGTGGGGCTTATATCTTTAATCCCAGAACTTGTGAGGCAGAAGCAGGTGAATCTCTATGAGTTTGAGGCCAGCCTGATCCTCAGAGTTCCAGGACAGCCAGGGCTACACAGAGAAACCCTGTCTTGGAGAAGGAAGGAAGGAAGGAAGGAAGGAAGGAAGGAAGGAAGGGAGGGAGGGAGGGAAGGGAAGGAAGAATAATGTGCCAATAGTGGTTCATTAATTGTAACAAATGCATTATAGTAATATACAACATTAATAATAGGAAAACAGTGTACTAGGGATATGTGGGAGCTCTGGGGATTATCTGCCCAGTTTCTCTGTATATCTGTTTTTTGTTTTGTCTTATTTTGTTGCAGTTCTGGAAGCTGAAGGCAGGGTTTTCCACATTCCAAGGGAGCACTCAGTCACTAAACTACACTATCCCTAGCCCTGTAAATATTGTTTTCGTTCAGGGGATAGGCTTTCATGATTGCTCCTCCTTTTCTTTTCTGTTTGTGTATTCATCGTTTCCTATCATGTATGCATACTTCTTTTATAATAAGAAAAACTATTAGGTAGGCTCTGTGGCTTGAGCCTGTAATCCTAGCATTTGGGGGGCTGAGGAAAGAGGACAGTCGAATAGTCTGGGGCTACCTTGGGCTATACAGATATTTCTAAACTCTTGATCCTTCTTGCTTTTCCCTCCCAAGTTCTGAGATTACGGGTATGTGCCAACATGACCAGCCAATAAATAAAATTATTGATTTAAAATTGTAACCACAGGTCCAAGGAGAGTCTCAGTGGGTAAAGGCCATTGGTATGCAAGCTGACACCCTGAGTTTGATCCACAGAACCGATGGGAAACAGAGAGGGGAGAATTGGTGAACATCTATAGGCTAGTTAGCCTGAACTACACTGCTCAGTGGTTAGAGACCCTTGCTTCAACAAGGTGGGGGGGGGGCACAGACGAGGTCAGAGAACTTTGGGGATTCTCTCTCCGTCTCTCTCTCACAGACACACATGCACATACACTGAAGTAAAAGTTTAAAAATTGAATTAATGTAACTATGTATCTTATGTACAGAACCGTATATAAGACTAATCTATAGCAAGAAGAAGATGGATATCTGAGAAGTTAGGAGCGTCTAACTACTATGAAAACACAGAAGGGAAAGATTGCTGTTGGGAGAGAGGATGTTTCCCACCGACTCAGGAGAGTCATCTTGTCATCGGGTCTTTAACTCCTTTCAAGGAAGAGGACAGAGCAGCTGGCTGAGGTCTCTTTCCCTTTGACAGCTCCAGCTATGGAGAAGGGAGTGGTTCTGATGGCAAGGCAAGGGGAGATAAGAAAAGGCCATGAACGTGGAGGCTAGACCACTCTAACTCCATTTCCACATCTTCACACATTAAGTGATCACCAAACATGCAGAGGAAAAACAGCAAATGCTGTTTAATGCAGACATCAAGCTGGGGGTCAGAAACCAGACAGCAGGTCTCCCCCTCTCAGCTTGGGAATCTAATGAACCCACTTGTGTGGCAAATGATGCTGTAACACCCACCCACTTGGGAGCTTCCGGCTGTGGAGATCCAAGGTCCCAGTGGGGACGCTATGCTGCTGCTCTGCTAAACACCTAGTTTACTATGTTTCCACGTAGGGATTAGTGCTGGGCTCGGCTTAGCCCAGAGGAGTTTCCTTTTGTTACAGTCAGCGGTGACACTACAGACTGGCCTAAGAAAACAAAATACAGGACTGTCTGTTGTCAAGACATAAGACATCAGTATCAGGCATTCTAAGGCTTAAGAACCTCACGGAAGGCAGGGAAGGCTGGAGTGTGTGGAACATGGAATTCTGGGCATAGCAGGGCTGTTGAACCCTTGCACTCAGAGCAGCGGTGATCAACTACACAAGATTGGCCGAGACTGGGTCTGCTCACATCCTGTCACTTAAGGAAGGGGTCATGGGGATCTATTCCTCCCCGAGAATTTCTAAGACCTTAGTAACTAATGTGAGAGGGAGAGGCATTTTCTTCGGTGGTGTAGTCACCAATAAAGTTCTCAAGCTCCTATAAAGAAACCCTCCCTGAGCCAGGCCCGGTGGCACATGCCTTTAATCCTGGCACTCAAAAAGCAAAGGCAGACGAATCTCCGTGATCTTAGGCCAGCCTGGTCTACGCAGGGATCTTCAAATCAGCCAAGGCTACATAGTGAGAGCTGTCTCAGAAAAAAAAAGAAAGAAGAAAGGAAATAATTTACTACGCTCCATAAACAACCCTAACGAAACTAATTACAGCACACTGAAAAGCCACAAAGCGCAAGGGGCCCTAATTGGGAAGAAGGGGGTTAGCAGGAATGGCAGAAGGACAAAAACGGGTAACTGAGTGTCTGTGTGTGTGTGTGTGTGTGTGTGTGTGAGAGAGAGAGAGAGAGAGAGAGAGAGAGAGAGAGAGAGGATATGATTGAAATACACTCTACATAGATGAATTACATCTATGAAAATGCCATAATGGAACCCATTGTTATGTAATTAACATGCACTAATAAAACATTAAGAAGGGATTCTTGGGGACATTTAAAGTCTCCTATAACGTGGCTCAGATCTGCTGTTATTAACATCGCCCCCCACACACACACACCCAGTGCTCATTAGGGCACCGCGCTTTCCCGCGTGCCAGCTTTCACACCACACACTCAGGCCAGGTTACACACACCTCTGTATTGCGGTAAAAGTTCAACATACAAAAAAACCACTGGTGGGGAATATTATTTTAATATTTTTTATGCTGCATTTGTTTAACTCTGTGAAGCTGTGATTCTTTGCCTGTCTAAAACATCTGATGGTCCTAATAAAGAGCCAAACAGCCAATAGTGAGGCAGGGCTGGCAGGCAGAGCGGATAAACAGAAGGAGAACTGAGGACAAAGAGGAGCAAGACAACAAGGAGAGGAGGACTTCAGGGGCCAGCAGCACAGTAAGAGTGAAAGTAAGATCACAGAAGTAAGAGAAAGGTAAAAGCCCAGAGGCAAAAGGTAGACAGGTTAATCAGTTAAGAAAAGCTGGCCAGAAGCAAGCCAAGCTAAGGCCGGGCATTCCTAACTAATAAGCCTCCATGTGTGATTTATTTGGGAGCTGGGTGGTTGGCCCCTCAAAAAGCCAAAAAGTAGAACATCACACAACAAACCACCAACAAATACATGGAGTTTAAGGAAGGCAGAGCTGGGTGTGGGAGCACATGCCTGGGATCCTAGCACCTGAGATGTAAAACCAGGATGCCTGGAGTTCAAGGTCATCCTAGGTTACAAAGTGAGTGCCAGGCCACCTTGGGCAACATGAGTTCCTGTCTCAAAATACCAAAACCAACCAAACAAGCCCCCCATAAAGTTTCAGTTCTCTCATTCCTAGCTACAGAAACTTTGTTTTTTTTCTTTGCAAAATTAGAATAACAATAAAATAAACCCACTGTCTTAATTACTGTTAAGTTGCTATGAAGAGACACCATGACCAAGCATCTTATAGAAGAGGCTTTATTGGGGGCTTACACTTTCAGAGGGTAACCCATGACTATCATGACAGGGATGGCAGCAGGCATGCAGGCATGGCAGGCAGGGCACAGGGGCAGTAGCTGAGAGCTTACATTTCATCCATAAACATGAGGCAGAGACAGAGAAAGTTAACTAGGAACAATGGGGCCTTTTGAAACCTCAGAACCCAATCCCAGTGACACACCTCCTAATCCTTCCCAGATAGATCCATTAACTGGGGACCCAGCATCCAAACATATGAGCCTCTGGGGGCCATGCTCACTCAAACCCTCAAACCACAGCACCTACTAGGTGCCACTGAGTTGCTGGATACTGCTGATAAAGCAGTGAGTAAGACGGACAAACTAAACAATAATAAAACTCCTGGCACCCGATACTTCCTACATGAAGTTTATATTTTGGCGGAGTCACCAGCTTATAGATAACAGTTTAAGCCACAAGAGTAGGCGAGGTCCCGAAAGCAGATGGCGTAGAGACCAGACCCAGGGCACTCTAATTCTGTATTTGTAGTAGACATGGTAAGAAGTAATACTATGTTAGAACTCTTGGAGGTCTACATGGAAAAAAATCATTCCCCCCAAAAGAAATGATAGCTTGGGATGCACCTCTGTGACATAGCCCTCGCTCAGAAGACCCCAGGATTAAGTCCCTGGTACGAGAGAGGAAAAATAGCAAGTAAGATGGGCATGTTGTATATATATCTGTAATCCCAGCACAAGAGAAGCTGAGACAGGAGGATTGCAAACACTAGGCAAGCCTAGGCTACACAATAAGATATTGTCTCAAAAAACAACAAACAAAAACAAATTTAAAAAACAGAGAAGGGTTGGACATGGTGCCAAGTACCTTTAATTCTAGCACTTGAGGCAGAGGCAGGTGGATCTCTGTGAGTTCAAGGACAGCATGTTCTACAAAAAAGGTCCAGGACAGCCAGGGCTATATAGTGAGACCCTGCCTCAAAACAAATAAACAACAACAAAAAAATGGGCAAAGAATATGAACAGAAAATTGACAAAATATTGATCAATAAAACTACTTTAAAATTATCTATATCTATCTACTTAGATAGATAGAGATAGAGATAGATAGAGATGATATAGATATATCTGAGACAGATATATCTGCCAGGCGAGACAGGTCTGTTCCTGGCAGCACCAATCTACTTCAAGAGGAAGATGGACATCAAAGAAGCTCCTTATGGAGTTGGTTAGCCATTTGGACAAAAAACTGCTCTTGCCTGGACTGTTACATAAACTGGACACAAAGAACCCACAGAGAGAGGACTGCTAAACTTGCCTAAAGGTGAGATGATCCTTTGGGGTTTCTGTTTCATAAAAGAGTCTGCAAGACATTCTACACGACACAAAAAAAAAGTGACTAAATTGTCTTTAAAATTTCCTGCTTCATGGGAATGTCTGCTGGATACTATGGGCCTGTAGGCTGAAGATGGATGCCCCAACGGTACAGAGAAACTTTGGGTGACTGTCCAGGCAACAAGATGTTTCTGTTATTTCTAGAGTTTGGAAGTTGCTTATTTCTTGTTTACTTAGGTAATATTATATCCTTCTGGAGTCTTTGATGGAGTTGAAGAATACATAGCTATTATCATAGTTTTCCTTAGTTATGATAAAAGATAAAGTAGATATAAATATTGTAACTGTAATTCTTGCTTAATAACTGTTTTGTTGTATGTAATTTTACTATGTTAAAGTGAAAGCCTTTCTTTTTTGTTTAAACAGAAAAAGGGAAAATGGTGTAGGAGGTTCTTCTATCTATGTTAAGAGAATGGTTAGTCTTCCCTAGGACCCTGGTCCCATTCCCAGCACCCTCATGGAGACTCACAACTGTCTGTAACTCCAGTTCCAGGGGATCTGATGCTTTCTTTTGGCGTCTGCAGGCACTGCATACACATACTACACAGACAGACATGCAGACAAAACACCCACACACATTAAAAAAAAAGTATGACGTCGGTGCAGTCTTCCTGTTTTATAATGAAAGTGGAGAATTCACTTCATTCCTCTGACCTCCACATATGTACCACGGCACACACTCTACCTAGTCCCACTGATGATAAATCTAAGTCGAACAATTATGAAGAATTATGAAGAAAAAATTAAATGGTGGAATAACCTGAAAAGAACTCATGAGTTCTTTTAAGATGCTGGCACGGGGTAGGGGTTTAGCTCAGGGGCAGAGTTAATGCTTAGCATTTGTACGGCTGGATTCACGCTTCACAGTTAACATTTTTTTTTTCAAATTTGTGGTGTAGTGGTGCAAGTCTGTTATCGCAGCCTTTCAAGAAAGCTGAGGCAGGAGAATCATAAGTTGGAGACCAAGCTGCTTGTGCTGCATAGCATTTAACACCTGTCTCAAAATTTTTTTTCCACAGTCACTAAACAACCATTTATTGAATAGATTCTAGCAGAGGGGTCACCACGATCCTCACTGTCTAGCATTATGTCTGGCATGCAGTAGGTACTCAGTAAATAGCTGTCGTTTCAACAAATGACTATACGAGTCTATAGACCTTCCACACTTGAGACCTTGTGAGTCATAAAGCCTTCTCGTTCCCTTTGCTGTTTGCCTTCTCTGGTCTGAGAGTAATTATAAAACATTAATGCGAGAAACCACCAATTTAAAGGCCCTTAATTATTTTTTTAAAAAATATTTATTCATTTATTATGCATTCAATATCTGCCTACATGTGTGCCTGCAGGCCAGAGAGGGCACCAGATCTCATTACAGGTTGTGAGCCACCATATGGTTGCTGGGAATTGAACTCAAAACCTTTGGAAGAGCAGGCAATGCTCTTAACCACTGAGCCATCTCTCCAGCCCCCTAAAGGCCCTTAATTATATACTTCGTTGTCTTCTATTGTTCCTTAATTATATTAAGAGTTTAAATTCGTCTTCCTTGACAAGAGCACTGGTTCCCACAAATCAATTCCATTCGATTAAAGCTTATTGAGCACAACGTATTAAGTACCACAATAGGTCCCACCAAACCTTCCGTTCAAAGATTAGAAACTTCAAAAAAGGACCTGTAACCCTAGCACATAGCAGGAGTCTGCCAATAAAAAGGATGTGAGGGATGGAGGGAGCGTGTGAGCCGCACTGAAATGGTTAAATGCTCTTGCTGCCAAGTGGTCAGGAAAACTGACCCGCTCACGTTGTCCTCTGACCTCCATGCGCAAGCTGTGGCGCTCACGCCTACACACAAATAATGTTGTTTTTAAAATCAAAGAGATTCCAATAATGCTAATCAGGCAGTGTCAAGCGGGGGATCAGTTAATTCTTCTTAAGAAAGGAAGTCCAGGAAGGCGGTGGTTAGAGGGTAGCGGTTTCGGTTGACTTGATAGCTAACAGGAGTCTGTCAGGCCCGTGACAGGGGGCTAATGGTAACAGATGCGGGAGAGGCTGGTGCCATAACAGAGTCTGAGCTACAAGAATGAGCCTTCCTCGCCTTCTGCTTTAATATCTGTCCCAGACACGACAGCAAGCCCTGCCTCTCCTTGATGTACAGTCAACACAGCAATGGGAGCCCGGGAGAAAGGGCAGGGATCCAGAGGGGGGCTGGCCCGACAGGCTGACAGAAAGCGTTGTCTGTCTTGCTGCCGGCCACGGAGGACCATTCGGGAAGCAGCGGACCAAACCGGGTCAGAGTCACCAAGTCAAAGCCTTACCTGCCGTCCCACCCCCACTCGGGGCCCACGCAGCGGCCAACTTGAAATTCGCTTTTCTTCCTCCAGCCCGTGTCCTAGACCCGCCTCCCCGAGCTCACTATTGGTGGGTTCCCCGGCCAATCTTAGACAGCGGAGGAGGGGGAGGCGAGGAGGCGGGGTGGGGAGCGAGCCTAACCGGAACTGAAGCTTGAGAAGTGGGGAGCGCTGAGATCTGGGGCTGCAGTCTCCACCTCAGCCCGGACGGAACCGCCAGGATGGCTGGAGTCGGCCAAGATGACCTGCAGCTCAGAGTTCATCCAGGCACGTGGCTGAGCCAGAGGAGGAGAACCGCTGCTGGGAAATGGCCTCCGGGGTTGGAGAGACCACACTACTCAATGCTCCTCGGCGGGCTTGTTCCCAGCACCCGCCTGGAGGCGCCCAACCGCCAGACTCCAGCTCCAGCGCCTCTGGCGCCCTCTCCTGGCCCTGCGCGCCACCCCACCCCCCACTTTCCGACCCTCTCTTTATTCCTGCGCAGTCTCCAGCACCAACCAATGAATACTTTAATTTTTTTTTTTTTAAAGACGGTCTGGTTACCCAGTCTAGGCTGGCCTTGAACTCATGATACTCTTGCCTCTGTTATTACGGTGTGCTACCAAGCTCAACCCAAAAATGCCCCCTTCATTCACCCACCGTAGATTGGAACTGTGTCTGAGAAGTGGGAGGGGGCTTGGGGATCAGAGAAGTCGCTGGGGAGAGAAGGCAGGAACCCAGTGGGGTTTTCTTTCTGTATTTCCCAACGGCCTTTCAAGCCCCTTGGTAAGGTGAGGGGAGAGTCATGCTTCAGGATAGAAGAGAAAGCTAGTAGTCAACAAGAATGTGTCAGATGTCAGAGAAAATGGCCTCTAGACTGGGAAATTGTGTGTGAGTGTAGTGCCAAGTGCCCAGTTTTGGGACTAGTACAAAAACAGTTGTGAAACTTTGGGGGAACTTGCTTAACCTCATTACATTTGCTACAAGAAGACGATTGTTCCCACCTTATAGAGTTGTGGGGCTGGAGATGTATGCACTGCAGAATGCCCGGCACGCATCAATAGCTTGTATAAGCGGCTGTTTTCCCTACAAGTATTTCTCTTCCTTACCCAGTAACATTTTTTTTTGTATCCGTATATGGTGGCCTCCGCCATTTTAATTCTCTAGGATCCTTGGAAAGCTTTCCAAACCCTTAGTACCTATCCAGTGCCCCCACTTCCCTTGGTACCTTCCAACTGGACACAAACTCATCCCTAAAATATGCAGATGGAAGCCTTGGTAACCATGGAGACAGGGCAGGTGGCACGGAGAGGCAGAAGCAGTGAGAGCAACAGATAGGAAGAGACGAGTGATTCAGGCAGGGACCTTCAAGCGAGATGGAAAAACGAGTCTAATAGAGTAGAGCTATAAAGAGGGCGTCCGTGTAACAGGGTTCGGTCATTCCTCTCTCCTACGGACATCCCTTAAAATACAGGGGGAAAGAATTCTGAGAGTGCCCCTTGCCCTAAAAAATGTCCTGGGAGAGCTAGCTAGCTACCTTCCTCACATTCCTAAGAGACCCACGGGAACTGAGATCTAAGTGTCTCTGTGGTGATGTTTGTGAGAGGTGCAGCGGGGATATACTGCTGTCTGATTCCAGAGGCTATACTCTCCCTGATATTTAAACTACGGGAAGGGGAGCCACATCTCCTGCCTCTTTCTGATCTGTGTGGACGCCGCTGCAGATCCCATCCGCCTCCCTCCAGCCCTCTGCACAGTGCCATATGCCGTGTGTGGCAGTCAGGTCTGGCATACTGGAGCTCATGGAGATCTGCTGAAGCCCAACGAAGAATCAGAATCGGAATGCTTCCTGAATGGGTCGCAGGAGAGTCCCCTAAGGAGCGCTTAGGTTTGTTGGGGCTGGGGGAGGTGGGTTAAGAAAGGGAAGTCAAGATTGGAGGCCCTGGGTTTTTTTTTCTTTTTTCTTATTTGGCTTATGTGTGCGCGCATGGGGGTGGGGAGCGGCTTGGTGCCGGACGCCCCCACCCGCAGAGACTGGGCTATAAATAGCACAGCAGAGCTCCGCCCCCCACCCCCCCTCTTCTCTCCTCCGGAGCCGGCGCTGTGCCCGGGGCGCACCGGGAGGAGGGACCAGGATCCAGCGCTGGGGCGCAGATACTGACACCAAGGGAATCCGGGTGCCCCCCCACGCCATGTGGGCCCCCAGGTACCCGGCTCCTCCACCCCGAAGGTCCCCATGGCCCCGGTCTCAATCCTGGCCAGGCAAAGATTATGCGGACATTCAGGTATCTATTTGGGGGTACAGCCTGGGAGGGGAAAGAACAAGGAGCAATGGGGAACATGACAGGGGCAAAAGAATCCCTAATTCTTCCTCCATCCCTTTAGGTCCCAATTGCAAGCTGCTTCCTTCCCCCCACTCAATTTTTGGGGATGTGGCAATCTAAAAGAGGTTAGGAATAGAAATATGTGTATGACTGTACGGGTGCATGTGTGTGGGTGGGTGGCGTTCAGTATCCTAGAGAGGGGGATTCCAAGTGTGGATAAGAAAAGGGGGATGTTGGAAAGGTCTGATAAGCCGTGGGGTGCGAATGGGGGGTGCGAATATCTCTGCGCGTGCATGTACGTATTTGCACGAGCCCTCATCCTTCAGTGCGGATGCACCCTTCCCACCTCCTCTGGCATGCGCTGGGGGGGAGGGGGCTCAAAGGCAGGAGTCAAGAGTAAGGACTGCATTGGAGATCATATTAATCACCCCAGTCATACACCAGGCATTTTCATCAGTGCCTCAGTTTCCCTGCTGAACCTATCAATAAGCTCTCTCTATCCTCTTTTTTACAGGGCTAGGCTTTACCACCAAGACCTCAGGCCTCTCCCAACCACCACCCCCACACTCCTAGCCATCTTCGGCAGGTCCCATTCCCGGCTCCATCGGTGCTTTCGCCCGAGCCGCAGCTATGCTGCACACCGAGGGCCACGCTCTTCTTCGGGCGGTGGGTCAGGGTAAGCTTCGCTTGGCCCGTTTGCTTCTGGAGGGAGGAGCCTACGTGAATGAGGGTGATGCCCAGGGGGAAACTGCGCTAATGGCGGCCTGCAGGGCCCGCTACGACGACCCTCAGAACAAGGCACGCATGGTACGCTACCTCCTGGAGCAAGGCGCGGACCCCAACATCGCAGACCGCTTAGGGCGCACAGCGCTCATGCACGCTTGCGCCGGGGGTGGAGGAGCCGCAGTGGCCTCTCTGCTCCTTGCCCACGGCGCAGACCCCTCAGTCCGAGATCACGCTGGCGCTTCGGCGCTTGTCCACGCACTGGACCGCGGGGACCGTGAGACCCTTGCCACGCTGCTGGACGCCTGCAAGGCCAAGGGCACGGAGGTCATCATCATAACCACGGATACCTCGCCCTCGGGCACCAAGAAGACCAGGCAGTATCTCAATTCTCCACCGTCCCCGGGGGTAGAGGATCCTGCACCCGCTCCTCCTAGTCCAGGGGTCTGCACGTCGCCTTCTGAAGTCCAGCTGCAGACTGCAGGAGGAGGACGGAGCTTGTTATCCCCTCGCGCCCAGGAAGAAGAGGAGAAAAGAGACATATTTGAATTTCCTGTTCCTAAGCCCCCTGACGACCCTTCCCCTTCCGAGCCTCTCCCCAAGCCGCCTCGACATCCTCCAAAACCACTCAAAAGGCTCAACTCTGAGCCCTGGGGCCTTGTGGCTCCTCCTCAACCGGTCCCTCCAGCCGAAGGGAGGCCGGGGATGGAGCGCCTGGCCGCTGAATTTAACGGCCTGACCCTAACCGGTAGACCGCGTCTTTCCCGGCGTCACAGCACCGAAGGCCCGCAGGACCCGCCCCCGTGGGCGGAGAAAGTGACAGGCGGGGGTCCTCTCTCGCGCCGAAACACAGCGCCCGAGGCTCAGGAGTCTGGTCTTCCTGCAGGGCTAAGGCAAAAACTGAGCCGCATGGAGTCCGTGGAGCTCGATACCCCTGGACATTTTTGCCCTGACTCTCCCGAATGCAGCCGCTTATCCCTGGAGCGCCGGCGATACAGCGCCTCTCCGCTGACCCTCCCTCCAGCGGGCTCAGTTTCTTCTCCCCGCCAGTCCCAAGAGAGTCTGCCCGGGGCTGTATCCCCGCTGAGCGGACGGAGGCGGAGTCCCGGGCTGCTGGAACGCAGGGGTTCCGGGACCCTGCTCCTGGACCACATCTCACAAACGCGACCTGGTTTCTTGCCTCCTCTCAACGTCAGCCCCCACCCTCCCATCCCCGACATTCGCCCCCAACCCGGAGGTCGGGCACCCTCACTGCCTGCCCCTCCTCATTCTGGGGCACCAGGGTCTCCCAGGACCAAGCGCAAGTTGGTGAGACGCCACTCCATGCAGACTGAGCAGATTCGCCTGCTAGGGGGTTTCCAGAGTCTAGGCGGGCCAGGGGAACCGGGGCGCTGAGAGAAGTGAGAGCCACCAAGGAGGGGGAGGGTCAGGCCCTGATGGCGGGAGAACCAGCTGATACCTCGGACACGGGATCTCTTGCATGTGCTCACGGCACTGTGCACGCACACATGGGTAAGCATGTGTCCACAAGCACAGTACACTCACTAGCGAGGAAGGATAAATACTGTGTTTACTGGGCGTATAGAACCACGCATTCGTGTCCTGGTCATTTCATACGCACACGGGATTACTTGGGTGCCCAGAGGCACAGCACACCAACAGAGGACCACATGTGCTAGGGTCCCAGACTCACTGGCATTTGTTCAGAAGTAGCAGGAAGTCCCCACTTAAGGATGGTCTCCTGTATCTTTGCTCTCCTGGAAAAGCAATCCCTTGCTTTCTATGTATGCCCTGAAACGTGGCCTATCATACTTTCGCATACTCTGCTTTCTGTTCATGAATCTCTCTCCCCATTCTGCAGGTCTTGCTTCTCCATGCCTGGCTCCTTGCTCACACCCGGCTTCCATCCGCTTTTCAGGATGTCTTCACTTTTCCTAGGGTTCCCGCAACAGCGCCCAGTCTCGGTTCTGTTGCTGCCTTCCATGCTCTCAACTTGCTTTTTATTCCCACCCTGCACCCCACCCCCCAAAACACACACCACTACAGATTGTCTTGTTTACCCCAGGGGGTGGGTCATGGGCTCTAAGCTGATCTTCTGTGTGTCTGAGCTTATGAACACCCCTACAGGTAGAAGTGGGGAGTAAGCCTAAGCCAGCCCCCCTTGCCACTTGACATGTCAAATAAATGTGTTCCGAAGTCTCTGTTCTGTCACTACCGCCTGAAGGAATGGGGAGGGGAGAGGAGAGGGATGGGGGAGATGCTAACTGACAGCCACAACTACCCGGGGGTGGTATCTAGAGGTTACAGCTATCTGCTTTCCAAGAGCCCAACTGACCAATTGTGGTTGTAGAAGAAAAGGCAAGTAAAGGTTTTAAGGCATGTGTTAGGCCTTCCCTCTAGCCTCCCCATGCCTGGCTTTTAATGATTTATTCTTACAGAGATTCCCCTCACCCCCGCCATAAGCAGATATGACTTCCTACTTCTTGAATTTTTTGTTTTGCTTTTTTTTATATATAAACACAGGGTTTGATTTCATTTCACCTGGTATGCCTCGTCCTTTTTCACCTCCATGTTTAATCTCTAAGCCACCCTAGGAGAGAGGGTAGGCCTAGTAACTTCACCCAAGGAAGAAAAAAGGAATGATAGTCAATCAGCAAAAGCATGTTATAGTGTGAGCGCATGGGTGTCTGTGTGGGGACAAAAGTTGGAACTCAGTCTGAGGAGTTCTATGAGCAAAGTTACCCTCTCTGATCTATGTCCTGACTTTCTCAGTTTGATAGGTTTCTGCATGTATTCTAGCTCTTTCTTTCGGTACAGTGATAAACATACTCTACTTTCTCTCATTTCCTTAGTGAGTAGCTGAAGTCAGAAAAATCATCCCTAAATGTAGCATAGTGAAAAGACAAAAACACTTGGATTAGTACACTTAGGTCCGAACCACCCTAACCATCTAGCTATTTGATTTGGCGCAGAATATCTAACCTTCCTGAGCATCACTTTCCTTGTTCATAAAATATTAAAACCTGGTTTATGCTTGCGGTTATTAAATAAGACAGTGCACTGAAGTATACCACATAGCATGTTCTGAAAGTCAGCGGCATTCTCCATTTTAGCGTCACCACCAATTGTATATGAACTTAGAGTCACATTCCTTCTTTGAACCGCATCTTCATTTAGAAAGTGGTGTGACCAGACAAATGAGCTCTAAGAACCCTTTCCAGTTACAAGTCTACTCAACTCAGCCTTGCATCCAGGCCTATTTTTCCTTCAAGCCCCGCCCCAGGGGTCTGGCCGAATTTCTAGCGTTTACCACAGGATTCCCGAAGATGCTCCGAAGCTCTCATTCTTACACTGTATCGCCTTTTCTCTTTGCAATTGGCTCCCGCAGCCTCCTCCTTCCTCAATCATTTGCCTAAGGTGGCGCAGGGGCCCGCCCCTTCCCTCCCTCTCCACCAGTGATTGGCTTAGCGTCTGGCTCGTCCCCGCCTGCTCTTGACTGACAGCTGGATCCAGGCACCGCCCTCAATCCCTCGGCTCTTGCTCACTGGGGTAGCTGGGACCGTTAGCTCGCCAGGCTGGCAAGCTGCGGGGTCCAGCTCTGCGGTCGGCCGAGATGGAGACGATGCGAGCACAGCGGCTGCAGCCCGGCGTAGGTGTCGGCGGGAGAGGCACTCTGCGAGCGCTGCGGCCGGGGGTG